GCAGAGTACGAACGAACGAACGAACAAACATTATTTTCAAAGGGTTACAAACTGGGCACGCAGGCCCGTCTGACATTCGGCCCTTCTGAGCACTCATTTGTCAGAGTACCAATGCCTGTTATCAATATAGCATGTTATGGATATAATAAAGAAATATAAATTATAGAATAATGCATACACACATCATATGTGTATGCATACACACATCATGTGTACACAATCGTACACACTCACACTCACGTATACATACTCCTACGTTCTCATACATGCACACTCATATACAGACATACGTAATACATACACACACGCATCTACATACATTCACAAACACAAACAGAAAACACACACATGTACATTTATGGATATACATGAACACACATATTCCATACATACACACCTATACATACATGATGGGGAAATATTTAGGAAACAAGTTTCATGAATACTCTCAAAAACAAGAGTTTACATCACACAATAAGATGTCTGCACACTAGTACTCCTTTAAAGGGTTAACATGCTTACACACACAGACATACACAGTCATATTTCACAATATTCTCATTTTAACCACATGGGTTCACATCACAAAGAATGAGAAACTGGGAGTGAGTTTACCAAGGCCAGACACTTATAACAGGTGCTTTGCACTGTTTGAAAATAAATGGGATTGACATATCTCCATCAATATACTGGGTGCTGGGATAGATGTCAAAATACAATTGTAGATGACAATGGGCTTTCCATCTGTCACAGTATTAACATAAAATATACACCACTCACTCCAGTTTAAATCTAAATCCACACATGTGCTAAATCTTATTCAGTAGAGTTTAGAAGTTGTAAAGGTTGAAATATAATTATTACAATTGTAAGGCCACCTGTTGTAGAGCTGAAATGTATTCCAAGTAATAGGGAAATATATCTACATCCATACATATACTCACATACTTACAAATATACATACATACTTGCAAACACACCTAAATACACAAACATACACCCACATACTTACACAGATACATATGCATACATACATCCACCAACATGCATACATACACACATACATGCATACATACACACACATAACATACATACACACATATGCATGCATGAGTAAATAAAGTAAGGGACCCCTTTTTATAATGGCCCCATGCGTATTGGCTTTAAAGTGCTGAAAGCCACGAGAACGGTGTTTATTTACATCCTCCACTGCCTGAAAGCCACGAGAACGGTGTTTATTCACATCATCCACTGCCTGAAAGCCACGAGAACGGTGTTTATTCACATCATCCACTGTGTGAAAGCGACCAGAACGGTGTTTGTTCACATCATGCACTGTGTGAAAGCCACGAGAACAGTGTTTGTTCACATCATCCACTGTGTGAAAACCACGAGAACAGTGTTTGTTCACATCATCCACTGTATGAAAGCCACGAGAACAGTGTTTGTTCACATCATCCACTGTGTGAAAGCCACGAGAACAGTGTTTGTTCACATCATCCACTGTGTAAAAGCCACGAGAACAGTGTTTGTTCTCATCATCCACTGTGTGAAAGCCACGAGAACAGTGTTTGTTCTCATCATCCACTGTATGAAAGCCACGAGAACAGTGTTTGTTCTCATCATCCACTGTGTGAAAGCCACGAGAACAGTGTTTGTTCTCATCATCCACTGTGTGAAAGCCACGAGAACAGTGTTTGTTCACATCATCCACTGTGTGAAAGCCACGAGAACAGTGTTTGTTCACATCATCCACTGTGTGAAAGCCACGAGAACAGTGTTTGTTCACATCATCCTCTGTGTGAAAGCCAAGAGAACAGTGTTTGTTCACATCATCCACTGACAGGATCGAAGCCTGGTAGACGACACTGAGGACAGCATTGCGAAACCGTTCCATTAGCCAATAAGTCCCAGACACAAAATACAGCGCACGGATCTGGCGTGTTTAATCATGTTTACGAGTTTGAAGTCTTCGACATAACGTGGCCAGATGTAGTCGTCATCCTTTCCCGGCCAATTCTTAGAGGACTGTATGGTGTGCTGATGTAGGTCAGAGGTCAGTCGCCAGCTTGCAGACCCGAATGTCTTGGGGTCAAATCCACATCGCGTCACATATTTTTCAAAACTTAACTTGGTTCAAAGGTCGACATAGCATAAATTGGGTACACGGCGATCTCACGAAGAGTTCGACGGCTTGCTTTACATGGACCCCATCGTGACGTGGACCACATCGTCACATAGACCACATCGTGACGTGGACCACATCGTCACATAGACCACATCGTGACGTGGACCACATCGTCACATAGACCACATCGTGACGTGGACCACATCGTCACATAGACCACATCGTGACGTGGACCACATCGTCACATAGACCACATCGTGACGTGGACCACATCGTCACATAGACCACATCGTGACGTGGACCACATCATCCGACTGGATCTCATAAATCGGAGTCTAGGATGAAATGTCCATACGCTACTGACGTAAAAGTGGTCTTTTACCTATCTGAAGAAACTGGGTCTACTCCAGTGTCGTACAAGTGGAAATAAATGACTTAAGCATTGGAGGGAACTGAATCAGAGCCTTATTGTTGTACACTTACAGATATACCAGCGCCATGCCGTGCTATGATTCAAAAATGAAGCTGCATCAGGCGGCATCGTAAGGGAGCGGCATATTTAGCGAAATCAAAATACAGTTCAGACTTTTGATATGACGGCGCAAAGCTTTTGTTCTTATTTGTAATATATCGCGCGGCCACTCCTTAAAGCTGAGGCGGCAATGATCACAAAAGACAGGTGCACGTGTTAAGTATTGATAGTTCTGCTTTGAGCAAAACCGTCTCCATCTGACGGGCCATGTTGCTGACGTCACCAAACCAGGCTCGAAATATTTTAACGTATCGTTAGCCCGGTTTGATGCTTGTTAGATGGAGACTGTCTTGTTTGAGCTTACAGTTATTGACAATATAAGATGCAGCATTTCAAAGACTTGCATCACACTAAGAAAATCTACCCCACGGCCCTGAGATATACCACTGTTTTTTTTTTTTTTTTTCAAATCATGACCACTGTGTTATATATTTGCATTTCTCCTCAACCTCCTAGCTTTATTCGAAAACATCTATGTCCCTGTGTACTGCGGGACCAAGCATGCAGTCCGGAGTTATACGTCATCACTGTCGGTAAGTGGTGAGTGAACAGTATGTGCAGGGCCCTTTCTCTGTAGAGATATTCTAGGCTAAGACACCATTTTATAAATAAATGACGTTTTTTTCTGAAAGGTTAACGCTAGTTGACTCAATGAGCAACTGTTACAATGTCAATCCACAATTAACGAGCCCAGGAACCTTGTTCAGCCGTGTACGCAAGCACGAGTGACCACTAGTTCTTAGCTTCATTGTAAGCATGTTCAGATTGTCTTCTGAAGCTGTACTTAAATGTAACAACGTGTCCGATGATTCAGGCACCCTTCGGTGTGTTTTGTAAAGCATCACGTAACTTGCTTACTTTAACATCTTTCTGCTTGTTTTCTGGAGCTCCGTATCTTTAACTGCTGACCTTATTTCAACATTTTCCCGCTCTTACTCTGTGGAAACATATCTTTACTGCTGACCTTATTTCAACATTTTCCCGCTCTTACTCTGTGGAACCATATCTTTACTGCTGACCTTATTTCAACATTTTCCCGCTCTTACTCTGTGGAACCATATCTTTACTGCTGACCTTATTTCAACATTTTCCCGCTCTTACTCTGTGGAACCATACCTTTAACTGCTGACCTTATTTCAACATTTTCCCGCTCTTACTCTGTGGAACCATACCTTTAACTGCTGACCTTATTTCAACATTTTCCCGCTCTTACTCTGTGGAACCATATCTTTTACTGCTGACCTTATTTCAACATTTCCCGCTCTTACTCTGTGGAACCATATCTTTTACTGCTGACCTTATTTCAACATTTTCCCGCTCTTACTCTGTGGAACCATATCTTTTACTGCTGACCTTATTTCAACATTTTCCCGCTCTTACTCTGTGGAACCATATCTTTTACTGCTGACCAGATTTAAACCTTTTCCCGCTCTTACTCTGTGGAACCACATCTTTTACTGCTGACCAGATTTAAACCTTTTCCCGCTCTTACTCTGTGGAACCATATCTTTTACTGCTTACCTTATTTCAACATTTTCGCGCTCTTACTCTGTGGAACCATATCTTTTACTGCTGACCTTATTTCAACATTTTCCCGCTCTTACTCTGTGGAACCATATCTTTTACTGCTGACCAGATTTAAACCTTTTCCCGCTCTTACTCTGTGGAACCACATCTTTTACTGCTGACCAGATTTAAACCTTTTCCCGCTCTTACTCTGTGGAACCATATCTTTTACTGCTGACCTTATTTCAACATTTTCCCGCTCTTACTCTATGGAACCATATCTTTACTGCTGACCAGATTTAAACCTTTTCCCGCTCTTACTCTGTGGAACCATACCTTTAACTGCTGACCTTATTTCAACATTTTCCCGCTCTTACTCTGTGGAACCATATCTTTACTGCTGACCTTATTTCAACATTTTCCCGCTCTTACTCTGTGGAACCATATCTTTAACTGCTTACCTTATTTCAACATTTTCCCGCTCTTACTCTGTGGAACCATATCTTTTACTGCTGACCTTATTTCAACATTTTCCCGCTCTTACTCTGTGGAACCATATCTTTACTGCTGACCTTATTTCAACATTTTCCCGCTCTTACTCTGTGAAACCATATCTTTAACTGCTTACCTTATTTCAACATTTTCCCGCTCTTACTCTGTGGAACCATATCTTTTACTGCTGACCTTATTTCAACATTTTCCCGCTCTTACTCTGTGGAACCATATCTTTTACTGCTGACCTTATTTCAACATTTTCCCGCTCTTACTCTGTGGAACCACATCTTTAACTGCTGACCTTATTTCAACATTTTCCCGCTCTTACTCTGTGGAACCATACCTTTAACTGCTGACCAGATTTAAACCTCTTTCTGCTCGTTCTGTTTAGCACAATCTCGTTTACTGCTGAAATTATTTAGATATTTTAATGGTCGTCTTCTGAAGCATCAAGTCACTTATTGCTGACAATATTTTAACATCTGCTACTCCTGTTGTGTGGGCGCAAATCAGTATACAAATGTATTTATCATGGTAGCTTGAACAGATAATTGCATTGGTGTCGATACTTTTTTGTAGACATGCTTACACTTAATTCTTTCGTTACCATCTAACACACCATGCATGATCCAGCTAATACTATATCTGTTGCTACTTTACCTAACTTGTATTGCGTCCGCTGTTGTTAAATTAACCCATTGAGTAGACAGACTGGCCGGTTCTGCACCACTAGATGGTGAACTGATGTGTGACAAGTTGGATGTTGTGAGGGCCCTTTGGAAGCGAGTGAACAGTGCCGCGGAACAGATAGATCATTACGGTCTGAGGAGAATGACACTGCGAGGAGTTACAAGGGGATCTGGCCGACGCTCGAAACTGAGGGGAAAGGAGACATACAATCAGACAGTAACTGGTACCATCAAAATTTAAACTCTTCGCTTGCTGCTGAAGATGGGGACGGAGCACTTATGGGGATGTCCCGAGTGCTGTGATGTCGATTCTTAATTCAACATTCAACCCATTTGACATCTTTTGTAATAAATTTATCTTCTCAATCCGTTCATGTTTATTACTGTAGATTATTCTGTTCCTTTTTGTCAAGACGGATATAATTTTTAAGTTACAGGTGGCTGAGACATGTTTGAAACCATTTATGTCGTGGTTGTAGAAAGCGTGGTAATTTTGAATGTGACATTTCCGACCTAACTTTTTCGGCGATAGAGAAATAGTTATATTGACATTGCTAAATGAACTCTTTCAGTCCCATACAATTATTACTCTAACTCATTCTTTTCCAGGAAGTTAAGACTAACAATTTAGAAGTGGATAGATCTGAAGACGATGAAAGACGAGACATTGTGAGACATGAGCAATTAAACTATCAGTGTCAAACAATATGGGGCACACACACACAAATTATCACTTGAATATCTTTGCCCTAAGACATTTGTTGCGGGAGATTGAGCTTCTGTTGCTATGTTCGGTAGGCTGTGATATCGTTTCTGAATTGAGTATACCAATACTAACTTACTGTGGCAGAAGGAGGCAGGATTGTTATATTGTCTTTAGAGTGTCTAGAAATGCAATATAACCACGGAAATGAGGTATAAGAAAGACCGCAGAAGTAATCAGAAAAGATAAACCCAGGAATGAAGTCATAGAAAAATCAGCATAGAAACAATCCTAAATTAGATACAAAGAAAGCAAATGGTTTGTCCCCTAGAGAGAATGTTTGTGACGTCATACCATACAAAGCATACATTAAATTAGTCGACATGAGACATGCATTGAAGAAGCGGCAGACCAAGAACAAAATGGAAAGATAACATCAGAGAGACTCTACAACAGTACGATGTGTTTATGGTCGAGGCCGCCAGACAAATAAGAACCAGAAGATTATATCTCCTCGGCACCCGAAAAGGTAAAAGAGAAGTGTTGAAAGAAAAGCAGGGTTTTCTTCCTGTTGACCGCACAGCGTTTTTAAAAGCGAAGTGTGGTGAGTGTTCTTGTTTCGAAGGAGTTAGGTTTGTCTTGGATATGATTTCTGCAACTACATTAAGAGATGTTTGTCTTGTCCTTCAGCAACAGCCTAACATGGAAGAGCTCGGCGTTGAGTTTGCTACCTTCTGCCCTGGTGGAACCGTCACTGAGCTGATGTTGAACAGTGAAAATAAGGTTCAGTTCTTTGATGAGTTCAAGAGAATACACCTTGACAACTTGTTAGAGTACGTAATGTGTATATATATATGTGGGTGGGTGTCCGTGTGAGTACGCGCGGGCGTGTATGTCCGTGTAACTATTCTATACAATCTTTTTTGCCGATTGAGGCAAAAATAAATGATATCCTGATATACTGAAGTGAATCATGGACAGTTGGTCGATTAGGAAAAAAAATTATTTGGAAGCTGGGAGATGTTGTTTTAAAGACGAATGATAAGAAAACCCTGGACAGATGATACAAGAAATAAACTGACTCACGAAGAGAACTGATTGCTGACATCAGGGGGAGACAATCTGCATTCTTTGGTCATGTGATGAGAAAGAGAAAACTGGAATACATGGCGACAGTGGGAAAGTTTGAGGCGAGGGGAGGCAGAGGGAGACAGAGAAAAGATGCTGGACAACTTGACATCATGGCATTGGATATCATTTGTATCAGAGTTGATTGAAAGTAGACAGAGGATTGTGGATTATCAAATAGGCTTGAATAAGAATAAGAAGACCCATTCTTACCAAATGTGCAGATGCTATGTCGTTTTCCTAACCATTTATAGACTTTCTTTTCTTGAAGTATTACACATTGTTTAATATAAATATATATATGTGCGTGTGTGTGTTTGTGTGTTATTTGCCAATCAGCACATACCACCACCAACACCATCACCACCATCACTCCTACAACAACAACAACAACAACAACAACAACAACAACAACAACAACAACAACTACTACTACTACTACTACTACTACTACTACTACTACTACTACTACTACTACTACTACTACTACTACTACTACTACTACTACTACTACTACTACTACTACTACTACTACTACTACTACTACTACTACTACTACTACTACTACAAATAATATTACAAAGTGTTTTTGCTCACCGGCGGCATGCCTAAATCATGCCCCTCTTGCACACATCTTTTCTCTATGTTCCCTTTACACCGTTGTTCACCTTCTCAGTCCCAGTTAAGTAAATTATTATCTGTGTTCTGTAGTAAAAGTCGATCCCGATGTCTTCTCAAAGTAAAGTAAAGCACCCAATAAACATATCGTTTCTGTTCGCGATAGTGGGAAGCTGGCTGGCTCTACTTTGTTTCTTGACTGTTGCAGGACGTCTATCGTGGTGAATGCCTTCATGGAACTGGTGCAGCTGGAGAAGATGAACGGAGCAATCCTGTTGATTGCGCTTGAACAGGGAAAATACTACAGGAAGATGCAAAATGTCGTCTGCGCATAGGAAGCCATCTTAAATCTGTTTCTGGCCGTCGTGAAAGGACAGTGTTCCACCAGGCATTAGATCTAAGAGATCAAACGTAGAATGTGCAGATTGAGCGCTCTGTCTATTTTGTAAATCTATTGAGACATGGGTATGCAAGGCTGCCGAAACCTCAGCATACCCCAAAACATTTTTGGTGGGGGTGGTGTGGGGTAGGGGGGGGGGAAGCCTAAACCTCCCTTCCCCATCCAAATAATTGTTATCGTGACTACCCCCCCCTCCCCTTCCCCACATATCCTTGATGTATTTGAGCTAAGTACCCCCCCCCCCCCACCCCAACCATTCTCTTTCAAGTTTTCTTTATACATTTCTTATTATTTAAAAATATAATTATATTTATTTGGCATTCAGCATATAATAATAATAATAATAATAATAATAATAATAATAATAATAATAATAATAATAATAATAATAATAATAATAATAATAATAATAATAATAATAATAATAATAATAATAATAATAATAATAATAATGACTATTAAACAAACGCTTAAGCCCCCCCCCCCCCCCCCCCACCCATCCCCAATTAAGCCTTTCCCCAACAAATGTAATAGGGGTCAAAGGTTTCCCCCTCCTCACTCCCATGCTATCTTTATGTCGGTGCCCGTGTGTATAAACTGTTTAGCAAACATTAGTGCCAGTACCAATCACAGTGTCGTACAGGTGGCTGATACATGCACAAAGTGTAGTGCTGACATAATGTTAGCTAAAAAAAAGTGCCGGTACTGCGTTACGTACCCTCAGAATAAAGCCCTGGGTGTTGGAAATATACTGTGAAGTAACGACTGCCAGTGTGATGTTAGCCACAAAAAGCTTCGCAAAAGAAATACCCACACATACAAGTACAAGTTTACAACAAAATGTTTGTCACTGGGCAAATCGTAAAAAAAATAAATAAATCAAATTACACATATTATCCAGTAGAAGTACCTCAGACAGGCTGCTGCTTCGGAGGACTGAGCACGCATGGGAATGCTCAATGTCTAGTGACGTCAATTGTGATAACATAACATACCTGTGATAACATAACATGATTTTGATAACATACCATAACATCATAAGAGACCACAATCTAGAGGACTGCCTTGAAAGAGACAGGACGCCGCCGCAGTGTTGCCACTTTTCTTTGACAAAAATATCCAAAACGGAGTCGAAAAAATATCTTAAATCATCTAAATTTGCGTGGAAAACATCTAGAAAAAACATCCACAGGGAAAGAGTCACAGATTACATAGCAATTGATATGAGTTACCCTACAGAATCATGTCCTCATGTTTACTGAAGTCTGCCTTACAAGATCCACAGGATAAACTTAGCTTGGATGATAAAGTTAAAGCTTCAGATCCAAAATGACTCTGGTATGCTTTAGCTGTTCCAATTTCTTTTATTACCTAATCAGGGAGCTGATAAGTGGAACAGCCTTTTCCTACTCTTATCAGGCCGAATTTTATGGTCAAGATAGCATTTAAGAAGTCGAATTTCATCCTGTTTCTTAGGTTAAATTTGATAAATTCACTCCAAATGAAAAATGTCTAGAAAATATCTACCATCTAAACGTCAAAAAACGCCATCTAAATGCAAGGGAAACATCTAAATCTGGATGTAAAATATCCAAAGTGGCAACACTGCGCCCCCGACACCAGGAGCACTTCCTGTTGACGAACTGTATTCAAGACGTGCCCCTTTATTACCCAGACCTGTGATCTGCAACTTTTTTTTAAAAGTGGCGCCCTCCCCCCCCCCTTAAAATATATATATATATATATATATATATATATATATATATATATATATATATAGCAAGATATCTACCCCCACGCCCCGCCTCCTACCCAACATAACAAACATGTGTTTAAAAAGATGGACACAAATAAACAAACATCCCTTGTACTGTTAACAATAGCTTGGAGAAAAACACACAATTTACGGTGTCAAAAAACAAAAGACACAATCACCAACTGGTAATTTGGTGTCTAAATTTCAGTGTAATGAATGGTTGACACTTTTGTCTTGACGATGTTTGCTGTTTTTGGTCTGCTGTGGGGCGAGGCACAACGGAGATCAGTCTCCACAACAAGTTGGCAGCGCTGTTCGTTTTTATGACTGTTCAAGCTGAAAATCCTGGTCATTACAAGTGCAAATTTACAAAATTTTTACTAGACGTTCCCCCCCCTCCTTCCCCAAAACTGTTTCACGCCCCGTGGAGGGAGGGGGAGGGGGGTGTGATACCCTCCAGAATGGAGACCACAGACACCTCTTAGTTAGTTCCTCGAAGAGTGTCTTTCAATGTTAGGAAGCATATCCCCGTGTGGGTTAACAAAGCCCCATTATGGTATGGGGGAAAAAAGAAGGGGGAAAAACTCAATCGCCTTAACAAGATGACTAATAAAGATATCTGACTTGTTGTGTCGAAAGGCTCAATATCACAGCCTAGCTGTAAACCACAACAATATACTAGCTGCCTGAAGTAGGCAAGCATTTGCTCTAAAACCTCGAATTTTAATTTATGCTTATATCTGCAAAAGAGGTAGCATAGCATACACTGGCAGAACTGGTCGGAAGTTAGTAGATTGTTTCTGTGAATACCTTGTAAACATTAGTTATATCCAGTTTCGTCCTTTTCAGGACGAAATTTTTTGTCATTTGAAGCCCTACTCTGGCTTTTGCCAGGGGCCGCAATATAGGCAGGCCATACATATGGCCAAATGTCTGAACGCGGTTTGCTGGGACCTCTCCACGGCGATCCTCATCCGCATGGTGGCACTTTGTGTCATCGGGTGTTTATCGCTTGTGTGATGTTCTGGTGGGGTAGAAAGTCAGTCAGTCAAACATTAGTCAACATAAGTCCTTACGTCCTTCTCAGGACGTAATTTTTTTTTTAATTTGAAGCCCCACTCTGGCTTTTGCCAGGGGCCGTAATATAGGCAGGCCAAATAAATGGCCAAATGTCTGAACGCGGTTTCTGGGACCTCTCCACAGTGATCCTCATCCACATGGTGGCACATTGTGTCATCGGGTGTTTATCGCTTGTGTGATGTCCTAGTGGGGTAGAAAGTCACCCACTCACTCAAACATTGGTCGTTAGTCTTGCTTGCAACTATTGTACGTGTAAATAGTTTACTCCATAATTATTTCATTTAATCAGAGAGTAGTCCTGATAAGACAAGTAGCATGCACACGAATTTAAGTTATAAAACACCAGCATATAATATTGCTGAATTGCCTAGTCAACATTACAGAAGTAACCAATGTAACCTTCTCAGTATCGATATTTTAATGCTTGTATCGGTGAACATTTCTTTGAAATATTTCATTTTTCAGTGTCACGATACTCGAGTACTATATTTCGTTTGCCGTGGTGGGCGGGTTAAATTATATATTTAAAAAAAAGTCCTCGTGGTTTTTGGACAATGGTATGAGAGTCACGCCGACGAAGTGTCTAGGACCCTCACCAAGTAATATTCATAAAGATTAAAGTGTTTGTGTATTGGCAAAATATTTCTTGTTGATTGTGTACTTTATTTGTGTTTTTGTATACATATGTAGTTATTTGTATGTGCATAACCATCTATTGCCTTCTTCACTTTTACCGGGTTGCAGCCCAGTGTCGTGGTTTAAAATATTTGTTTTGTGCCTCTCGCGTGATTTGAGTGACAGTTTTCTGGATCTTCTGGCCGTATTCAGCTACTCCATCTATCCATTTTTTCCTGGGTCTTCCTCTGGCCTTTCTTCCCGATGTTCTACTGTAAAAGGCCTTATAGGCAATCTGATCCGGTTGCATTCTTACTAAATAGCCAAACCACTTCATCCTCTGTCTTTCAATATGTTTCATTCATGCTCTTGTTCCAACTTTTTCTCTAATGCTGACGTTTGTGACTCTGTCTCTTCGTGTATTGTTGGTGACTCTTCGGAGACATCGCATTTCACATGTAGTTATTTTTTGCATATGTGATTTGTTCATTGTCCACGTTTGGCACTGATAACATAACGTAGGGATGAAAATGCTGTTGATCATCCGTTGTTTGGCTGGTAACGAGATCTTTGGATGAGCACAACTTTACACATTCTAAATAGCCAGAATTAGAATTGATTGTGATGGTATTTACATTTATCATTGCATGTTTTGAACTACCTAAAGTCTAAGGTCAAGATAACCCCCCCCCTCCTCGCCTTGACCCCCCAGTCCCACAAGTGTGAGTCTGTCCGGCAGTCCGAGGTTTGAGAATAGAGGTCAAATGAGAATCACAATGCACTGACAGAAAGTTACAAACATGGAATATTTACCTTAGAACAGCTGACAGAAGTGGAGTAAAGTCGCCTTAAACACTTAAAACAGCATTTTTAGACCAGGGCAAAATGTTTCAATTAAGTAGACAGAACCAGGTATTGACACGACTAACTTTACTGTTGACACATAGAAGTATATCGTTCTATACCAAGGAAATTCTAATAAGAACTTGGGAAACAAATTAGCGGTATACTAACAGTGTCAAACACAGACGCTTACTGAAGTAGAAGCGCACAAAATCGGTATAAGAGAGATGAGATGTTTTAGGAGAGTTTCCGGAGTAATAAAAAAAGATTAAAATGAAACAATGAAATAATTTTAAATTTTAGGATTGAAACAAGTAATACAGTTTATCAAAGAGCAACAGAGGAAATGGTTTGGTCATCTAACGAGAATGCTGTGGTACCAACTGCCACAGAGAGCCCTCTAAACGCTTAAGAAATATAATGGACACAGAGCTAGGGGTAGACCGGCAACAAGAACAGCTTTGAAAAATGAAGACTAAACTTATAAAACAAAGTGGAAAGAGCCCACATAAGATCCTTTTATCTACCTACCACTTAGATCAGCGGTTCTCAGCCTGTGGGTCATGACCATTTTGGGGCTCGAACCTTTCACACTGGTCGCTTAAGACCATCGATAAACACATATTCCCTCAAGTTATGAAGTAACAACGAAAATTATTTTATGGTTGGGGTCATCACAACATGAGGAACTTAATTAAAAGGTCGCGGCATTGGGAAGTTTGAGAACTGCTGATTTAGATGAAGTAACTGATTGAAGTAAAGACGACAAAGAAGACAGACATGTTTCGGGGTTGCCTACAAATATGAAATTAAACAACGTAATTTCGAAATTTAAAAAGCGCCCCACCCCCCACCCCCCCCCCCCACACAGTGCAAAGAATGCTTACGAGCAAAAGATACATTAAAAGCTTTTGAAGTGAATTTAGGATGACCAAGACATACAGGGGAAATGAGGCTAAACATGGAACGATGGCATCACGAATCTTATTCTTAAATTCCACGCTGTATGGCGTTGGTAGTCATGTCTCTCCATAACCTTTTGTCTCCTGTACTTTTAATTAACGCTTACACAGATGATTGTCTATGCCATGATGTCAAACTGTCCAGTATTTTTTCTCCCAGTTTTCCTCTGCCTCTCCTCCCCTCCAACTTTCCTACTGTCACGATGTACTCGTTTTCTCCTTCTCATCACATGACCAAAGAATGTAGATTGCCTCTTTCTGATGTGGGCAATCAGTTTTCTTCGTGAGTCAGTTTCTTTCAAGACACCCTCATTACTCTTGTTATCTGTCCCGGGTATTATTAAAATTCGTCTATAAAACCACATCTTCCAGCTTTCAAATAATTTTTCATTAATCTACCAACTGTCTATGATTCACTTCTATATATCAAGATAAGATTTATGCAGCTTTCAAGAAATCTTTCTCGTCTCAATTAACAAGAAAGATTTCATAAAATATTTTACAATTTGGAAAATGCTGCCTTTGTCTGAGCTATTCTACATTAAAATTGTTTAATGCATTTTCCATCTGAGGTTAACAGGATACCCAAGTAATTGAAATTCATCAATTTGTCACATTTACTTTGATGTTGCATTTTGGAGGGTCCGGAATCGGGAATAATCTAATCAAAGTAGAGAAGAACTTACACAACACATTAGTAAATAAAGGCAGAAGATTCTCAACTCTCTCCCTCTTTCTGTCTATCTCCCCCCCCCCCCCACCTCCTTACACTTCAATGAAGTCCTAAAAGTAAGAAAAAAAGAAATGAAAATGTTAAACGGAATTTAGCAGAACCGCCCACAAAAGGGGAACTTACTCTGCATCCAAGATGGTGGCTATGGAGGAGTCCAGAATGGAAAGTAAATGTAACAACGATCCTTGGGCGCCGTTACATGGGGAGGGGCTAGCATCCTCCCAGCTTCTCATTGCCCAAGCACCTGAGAATCCGTTGAACCAAATGATTGAATCTGAACGTTATATCCAGACATTAGGTAAGTAGATTAGTAGACCTCCCTCTAGGCCCCCAGCCATATGTAATTCGCCTTTCTTCGGTGATGACGGTGATGATATGATATATGATTCCGGGTAAATGATCGTTTAGTGAAGTTTTGTATATTGGATTTGTACTTATGGATTTGAAACCATCACAGCTGGATAAAGATTAAAATACCAAATCCAACGATAACATAATGAAGCCTGTAAGTCAATTCTGAGCGGAGACATGAACATTTCAGTGGCGTATCGTATACTGTTATACATACCTACCACCATAGACAAATTATGGCTCTCCTCCGAACTTCTACCCGATATTATGGCGGCCAAGCAAATAGCCTAACAGGGCCTCATGTGTAAAGTGCGGACTTTCTGCCAAGGAACAAATCACGGCAAAACTAGGATCGGCTCCGAATAGCGAAACATATGCTTCAGGATCTTAGCGATGTTAATTGTGGACCTGTTTCTGCGACTATGCCGTACCGCCGACAGTATTCCCCGCGCCGCTACGTGCGGCACAGATGTGGGGCTAAACTAGATGGCTGGAACTCATGAGCAGCAGCTAGTGCATCTCCTGCAACTTCCTCTAATTTATTTGCTCATGAGTCCCAGGCATCTAGTTTAGATCCCCATCCGCATGTAGCGGCGCGGGGGATACTGTCAGCGGTGAGTTTAACTGCATTTTGCGCATGCCGAAAAGTGTAAGGACAAAAACAATGCTAATCTGCATCAGAGCGCGTGGTCTCCCCGCCATGTGGCTATTATCGTCTGTAATGTTGCGTGTTGAAATTGTCAATGGTCGCTATTATCGTCTGCTAGTATCATCGGCAGAAATGCTTGAAATTGTCAATGGTCGCTATTACCGTCTGCTAGTATCATCTGCAGAAACGCTTGAAATTGTCAACGGTCGCTATTATCGTCTGATACTATCGTCTGCAGTGTTGCGTCTCTTGAAATTGTCAAGTAATCCTAGTTTTGCCGCCATTTGTTCCTTGGCAGAAAGTCTGCATTTTACACACGAGTGAGGCCCTGTTAGGCTATTTGCTTGGCCGCCATAATATTGGGTAGAAGTTCTTAGGAGAACCTAAATTATTGTGTATCTAAAGATGGATTCCATGCTGCGTCCCAGTGGAATATAGGGTTGGGATGACTCATTGTTTGCATTTCATGACAATAGTTTGTTTTTTAAATGAATCCCTTAGCACCTATATATCTTGCAATCGTGGCAGTGAGGCCTAATTGTATATGCATTTCCTAAATACCCATGATGCAATATGAGCCTAATTAACATATTAAAATGGCTACCAGTTCACTATTTTAAAGTAAACACCAAATGAATTTATAGTTATTTGCCAACGAGCCTGGTAGAAATGTTAAAATAATCTACCCTATTTAGATAATACATTGCCTTATTTAGACTCCCAGTCTCTGTCATTGGTGTTATTTTTTGTTGGTGAATTAAGTGTTCATTCTTTTTCTCCTTCTTCTTTTTCTTGGCGTTCACTAGCTATGAGCTTGAACTTATGTGGAAGAGCAAAATCAGCATAGCAGTCAAGGTCAATATTTACAAATCACTGGTATTGTCTGTTTTCTTTATACGGATGTCAGAGTTGAACTCTCAGTGTGGAAATAGAAGGGAGGATACAGGCTTTCAAATGTAAATGCTACAGACATATTTTACGAATTAGTAATTTAGAACACAAAACTAATAAATATGACAGAGAAAAAATATACAAATTTGCGGGACACCAGGAGCCTCTCTTGGCAGTGGTGAAAGGTTGCAAGCTAGCTTAGTTTGGGCATATGGTGAGACATGATTTGCTTGCAAAGACTGCTTCAAGGAACATTGGCGGGTAGTTGAAGAAGAGGAGGGCAAAGAAGAACCTGGAATGTCAACATCAAGAAATGGACAGGACTAAGTTATCATACACTTATTCATTGTACCGAAGACAGAGAAAGATGGCAGGTTTTATGTGCTTGTGCTTTCGTCAATACATCTCCATGAATGACCCTAATGGGTCGAGGGTTATGTTATGCTATGTTAATGAGAATAATCAGATATATTATTATTGGATGAGCTGCCAAATTGTCAAACTGTGTTGACACACCCATTCAATTCTAGTGCACAGATATCTCGAAACTCAGATAAAGACAAGCTCAGTGGAGGACCACCTAAACACTAAGGATTTAAAATCACAGTAACTTATCATGGCATCATCATAGCTTGGTGAGTTCAATCACAGATGTGGTAGAAAGTTGAGGCCATTGTGCAATATATATATATATATTTAGGAATACCCTGTACCTCACCTTGGGTGCCAGGATTCACCATGCTGAACCTGCGTGCAAGACTTCTGCCACACATCTACATCGGGTGCCAGGATTGACCATGCTGAACCTTCTTGCAAGACTCCTGCCACACATCCACATCGGGTGCCAGGATTCACCGTGCTGAACCTGGTTGCAAGACTCATGCCACACATCCACATCGAGTGCCAGGATTCACCATGCTGAACCTGCGTGCAAGACTCCTGCCACACATCCACATTGTGTGCCACAGATATTGCAGTTAACAATCCAAGCAGTGTTTCACTGTTGTAAATTGGAACACAGAGGACTCAATTAACAGACTCCCATGTGTGTACCGGGGTCCCATTTTGGGGCAAGAATTAAACCCACTGCCTTCCTGACAAGCAAGTCATACAAGGTGACTAATTAGGGGAGTTCTCTTCTATGTAGAAGTGCATCTACATGAAAGGGAAGAATCAACAGTCTGCTTGCAAAGAAGCCTGATCTGTAAAACGATTGTGCATGCAAAACTCAGGTTCTGGAACAAGATCAAAGTCCAGAAATGGATGAACAACTAGGGCTTACTGTAGGAGTTTATAGCCAGTGAACACTAACACTATTGGGGCCGCATTAGCGGAGTCGATAGAAAACTTGCTTTCAAATCCAGCTGCGACTCGCTGCAGCCCACGGCCAGGGTTCAAAACCGGGCGGTTCCCGAGGTTCACCCAGCCTCTAGGAAATGAGTACCAGAGCTAACACTCTAGGATGAATGGAGGAACGTCGCTGTAGCTATGGAGTTGTGTGCGGACAGCAACACAGGCAGATAGTTTTTCATCAGCTGTCCGTACTAGTGGCATAGCACTTATGGTTTAAAATCGTGTGCAATGACCCTGGTTCACATCTCCCGACTTTACCTTTACCTTTTTACACTAACAAATAGAAGAAGAGAAAATAACAGACTGCACAGTTTATGAATTTATTAATTTCTGAACTGTTTCAGTCTGTTGTTTGGGTGCTCTTTGTTAAAAATTAATTTACATATGTGTAGATGCCTACAATTGTTCTTATTTGTTTCCACAACAGAAAGACGGTTAGCACAGTTATCAAAAGGAAAACAAGGAGAGCCATCATCAAAGGACATCATTACTTCATTAGCACTCTTCCATGATGATCAGATGAGACGCTATATTTCTCAAACTGACATAATTGATTTTGGCCTTGCCAGCTGCAGCGGAAGTGATGAAATGCCTCAGACTTCATTTGTTCAGAGAAAATTACGCCCAGAAAAACAGCCTTTGAACCCTGAAGAATTAGCAGAGCTTGTTAAAGAAGATGTCTTGGCTAAAGTCTTTGAAGAATCAGTTAGCAGTACAGCCATTGAGACTGTTTCAAATGCTTTAGATGCACAGACTTACAGTTCTCATGTTTCTGAGCCTTCTGCAAATCCAGCAGATTTGAACTGCACACCTACTGCTGATGGCACACACAAGCTGATTGATCAGCAGTTTGATATTAAGGCAGCAACAGAATCAGCAGATGAAAACTGGGCAAATTTTGATGAATTTGTATGATACTATTGAGGATGTCATATGGGGCTATTCAGTAAAGTTCGCTCAAGGGACAAAATGTTGAACATATGGATCATCACGGGACAAAGGCATAGAAAGATTATTACTACAGTACAACTGGCAGTGATCTGCTGGCCACTTGCTAGGGCTCCGCGGGCCAGATTTAGCTTGCGGGCCATCAGTAGAATAGCCCTGATTTAGGACATGAAGTTGTATAGTACTATTCTTCTACTTCTTCTTATTAATTAACTGTAAACTTCATCAGACAGTTTAAGTTGTTTGTCCATTTTTAGACCAAGTCTTGTTTCAGAAATTGCATTTTCCACCACATTTATATTACTAGTCTGACTTTGTAGAAGTAACATTTTTGCAAAAAGAGAGTGACTTCCCTTTCCATTCATGCCTCATTCAGTTGTGCGGCCTCTCCTATGTTGCAGGGTGTCATGTATTCCTTATTGTCAACTCTTTATCCGTTCTCTTTTCTCTCGATTATTTTTGCATTCTGCTACTTGCACGATGGTTCGGGAGTCTGGAAGCTGCAATGTTTTCCTATTCTTACATTCCTTGTCAGTGGCTTCTTTTTTCTGGGGGGAGGGGGGCCATCGCCAACTAAGGTAGACATACAGTTTCGATACTCATGAACAGTCACGCTGTGGCGGTTTCCCCCTGCAGTACTTCTTACTTGTACACAGGCACCTGCGGCCCCTCAAAGAGATCACGTCAACACAACCTCCCACAAACATTATATATGGTAACTTAACGCTGAACGAAGCCATATCATAGCACCCCCGCAACATAGGAGAGGCCCTGTGACCCGACGAGGCATGAATGGGAAGGGAAGTCACTCTCTTTTTTTGCATACAGACTGTTACTTTTGGTTCCTCGCCTCTCATGCAGATGTATTCTGACTTTGAAGATAACACGCCTGATTAGTAGGCTTTTATAGCATGTTTCTTAGGAGGAACAGTTTTACTATTCTCCCACAATGGGCCCCAGAGCACAATGGGGTAAATAGTACTATTGAGGATGTAGATACTTCATATTAATGATTTCAGTATTACTTTTTATTTCCTTTGTTTCAACTTCTGAGATTTATTGAAAGATATAACGAGGAGACAAGTGAAATATTTTAGCCTTATTGAAAACAATGAGTCTTATTGAAAGAACCATGTTGGAAGGAAATGCTGATGACAGGTGAGCAAGATGTAGACAACAATACAAGTGGGAGGATGGCATAAAAAGATATATGAACAGCAAGCAGTCTGAGAGAGTACAATCAAAGTGAAAGTTAGAAAGTGTTAGAGATCCATTGTAGCTACTTTTCTTTGTAGGGATAACACTTGATTGACTGAACCTTCTGTTTATTAAATTGTAAATTGAAATTGTCTGTATTTGTATGTATTTTTTATATTATAGAATCATTATTAATTATTTTGATTTGCTTGCTGTATGTATTTTTTTTCTTAGTGATCAGTTTTATGAACCTGTTTCATATATTTGCATCAGTCCGTCAATCAGGTGCCGTCAGCTGCAATGTATCTCCAACACACTCTTTTTGTGTGTCTTGGTAGTATAAAGTTCTCGCTACTATCCCTTAGTCTCTTAATGTTATCCTCCCACTTATATCATTGTCTACCTCTTGTTTTCTAGATTTTGACTTTTCCCTGACAGGCCTGCGTACCCAGTTTGTAACCCTTAAAAAATATAGTTTGTTTGTTCGTTCATTCCATCCAGGTTATTAAAAGAGTTTTATATATTTGCATAGGGATGCTAGAAAATAAGCGATGAAATAGTGAAGAAGCCTGAGGTAGTGGAAGTTTAGATTTTGAGAATTATAGTGAAAATATCATAGACGGAGAAAAATTGACTGTCAGCTTCGATACCTATAGATATGACACAATTCCTCACTATAACCATAAGAAAAATACAAAAGAAATTGAAGGGACATGTTACTGAAGAGGGAGGTAAATACTGTGTAATTAAAATAGAAGACGGTGGTACAGAAGGATGCACTTGAAAGCCTTAACAGCTGGGCAAAAAATAAAACTCTAAAGAACATCAATTTTATTTCAACTTTGGGAGAGAACTAAATAAGTCCAAGAGAAATAAGCAATGGAGAAAAGATGCTAGCTTTGGATGGGATATACACTTGAGAAAACCTGACAACAATATAACCTAACCTGGCACTAAAACTTACATGATCAATAAAAATAAAAAAAAGGCAGACTGACAACAATTTAAAAAACAAAAACCGAACACATGGAGAACATGGGAAAAAAACAACTATAAAGTAAAGTCGAGAGAGCTGCCTGCGGTAGTAGTATTCTTCTTCTTCGCGTTTTGTAAACTCTGGCGGAAAGTTATAGTTGTTCATCCACGTCTGGACTGCAGTCCTGTTCCAGAACCTGAGTGTTGCATGTGCATCTGTTTTACAGATCTTTCTCATTTGTATGCAGACTGCTGGTTCCTTGCCTCTCAGGCAGATGCAGTCTGACTTTGAAGGAAGCTCCCAATTAGACAACTCTTACAACATGCTTTTGGGTAGACAGTGGGTCTATTCTTGTTTTCCCTATAATAGGGCCCCGGAACCCATACAGGGAATGCGGTAGTAGTGAATAGGATGAATTGGTTCAAGTTGTTTGCGAGACACTCTGGGGGATATTGGACAGAAGAAGAGAAGAAGAATTCTATACACATATCAAAGGACAGAAAGGATTGGAAAGTCCTGATTGCAGACGTCAGCTTAAGACCAAGTATTTGAAGATAAAGAATGTATATATTGTTGTTTAGTGTTCATCCTCAGATTTGTGTTGTAAATTTTTTTTTAAATTGTGTACAATGTTTGATGTATACATGTTGAGTCATTCTCTGAATTATTTAATGGTAAACAAAGAAGCTAAAAATTATGCTGACATGATTACATGACCTGGATCTGAAGAAAGCCTTTGACAAGGTCTGGAAAGAAGGTCTACTGAAGAAACTCAGAGACTGCAGGGTGAATGGGAGTATGTACAAATGGGTCAAAGCATACTTGTATAACAGAAGATCCCGAGTACAGATAGATGGACTTAAGAGCAAGAAAGTTTTGCTGCGCCATGGCGTCCCACAAGGAGGTGTCCTGTCCCCCACACTCTTCCTAGTCTATATCAACGACCTGCTTTCTGAACTACCCCATGGAATTAAAGCTGCAATGTATGCTGATGACTTGGTACTCTGGTGTACAAATGAAAATGCGACAGTGGCCACCAGACTGCTACAAAGAGCCATAGATGCAATGGCTAAATGGGCTGACAAATGGTGTGTCAGCATCAACATAGGCAAATGCAGCACCACTCTCTTTACCCTTTCTCCTAAACAAAAATCAGGCGCCATGCACATAAATGGAGTACCCCTGAGAGAGGATAAGGAGCCCACATACCTCGGCGTAACGTTTGATGATAGATTAACATGGAGAAGACACATCAACAAGGCAGCAACCAAAGCCAGAAGGAGGGTAGCCATTCTGAGAAAACTAAGTGGAACCACATGGGGTGCTAGCGGGAAAATACTTAGAAAAGTTTACCAACAAAGTGTTCGACCACATCTTGAATACGGATCAACAGCATGGAGTTCGGCATCAAAAACCACATTGCAAGAATTAGACAAAGTGCAAAATCAAGCACTCAGAGTTACCACAGGCAGTATGAAATCAACACCTATAGCTGTGATGGAGAAAATGGGGATGACCCAAGCACTAAGTGAACGCAGAGACACCAAGATGCTTTTACAAGCAGAAAAGTTTCTTAGTATGCCCAGTCACCCTATGAATGAAAGATTCAAAAATTTAGCTTTGGGACGACTAAAGAGAAGTAGTTTTATCCACCAGGCCAAACGGCTCGGCAGACAAACCACTGATTTACCTGCAACTGATAGATCCTTAAATGCTGTCCCAGAACGGACCCCCTGGAGAGAGGAGTATAAGTTTCCAATACACATCAAGACTGAAGTGAAAGGGGTATTTGACAAGGAAGAACAAAACAGTGTGCAGCGCAAAACAGCCACCCTCAGTTTACTTGATGATGAATACCCGCAGAACCTTTGGGTTCGTGTTTACACAGATGGGTCAGCAGAAAGCGCAGTCAGAAACGGAGGTGCGGGAGTGTACATTGAGTATCCTAATAATACCAGGGATACAGCCAAATTACCAACGGGAAAGCACTGTCACAACTATGATGCAGAAGTTCAAGCCATCAAGATAGCGGTAGAGAAACTACTAAATACAGGGTATTTTTCACAACCAGTGGTATTCCTGACAGATGCAAAAGCAGTACTTCAGTCACTCCAGTCTGGAAAATTACCAAGCATACGGACACTATTATCCGAACTAGGCAACCGCTGTAAATTAGTAATGCAGTGGATACCTTCCCACTGTGGAGTTCCCGGAAACGAAAAAGCTGATAAACTAGCTAAGGAAGGTGCAACTGAAGAACAACCTGACATACCAGTCTCTTATCAACAGAAGAAGAGAATGATCAAATCAATCAGAATGCCACAACTGGCTCAAGATGATTACCATATTATGGACAGACCAGAGCAAGTTATTATCCTTCGCCTTAGAACAGGGCACAATAGACTTCGCTCCCACATGTACAACAAATTTAAGATTGGCCAATCGGCCATGTGTACTTGTGGACTGGCACCTGAAACAACAGATCACATCCTTCAAGACTGTCCCATATTCAACGCTTTCAGGCAAAACATTTGGCCAAAAGAGACACTTGTGGAAGTCAAACTTTACGGGCCGCTTAGTGAATTACAAAAGACAGTGAAATTCATACAAGAGACGGCTTTGCAGATATAGACAATTTATTTCATGCGAACGAAAGAAGAAGAAAACATGACCTGGGAGTGAAGCCTGGTGAAGCACATCGGTGCCACCTTCAAGGTCATGATAGGAAGCATTGCAATCAGCTTTTCTTGGAAACATTTTGTAGAGGAATCCTGGATTGGTTGCTGCACTGGAA